TGTTGCTGAACCTTGAGCCTGAGCTGTGTCCTGCAATGGCAGGAGTAAGCACATGGTGAGACCCACCAACTGTGACATTTTGCACACGCCCCCACCCAAAGCCTTTCATGGTTACACTTTGACTCAGAAATTCTACTTTCAACATTTATTCAAAGAAAGTAATCAGTTGCAGGGATAGGTAAGTGTACAAATATGTTCTCCACAGTTATCTGTAATAGTAAAAAACTAAAATAAAACTACCTGTAATAGCAAATTACTTGAAGCAAATCATTGCCATACAATGAAAGCAATCAATGCCATATACTTGGAAAGCCACCAAATATTAATTTTCAAGTTTCTATTGATTTGGAAAAATGAATTAAAAAATCACGTGGCAAAGATATGCATACATATTACATTATTTTTAGAAAATAACCACGTATATGTGCACCAAAACCAAAACCATAACGAACCCAGTGATTTTCTTTGGGTAGTGAGATTAAGAAAATTTTTGTTTTAAAAAATATCCAGGGTGTTCTTCTGTTTTCTAAGTTACTTCTCATTGGGCACATACCACTTTTATAATTAGGAAAAAGGTTATTTTGAAAAGGGAAAGAGGGATAGGGTGGCTTCCTGCTATTGCAAGAAAGTCTGAACAACTTATAGTACCATCAATTAAATGAAGCTGATAAACTGAGAGAGGTCTATAAGGCAGAATCAATATCTGCTAAAGATTCAATTGTGAGGTCTGTGAGGAGACTTTCTTTGACAATGATCAACTGATGGATTAAATAACTGAATTGAGTAATGGTGCCACTGATAAGGACAGAGGACACACAAAAAGGAGCTTTTCTGGGTAGAAAAATTATGCATTCAGTTTTAAACTTCTGGAGCCTGATGTGCCTGTGGTATATCCTGATACCTAGGTAGGTGGCAATGGTCTGTTTGTCAGAAAAATAGTAGGCTAGAATACAGCTTGATAACTTCTTGAACATAGGCCTATGCTTGATAATTTTTGATTGATTTCCAGAAGGCTTGTATCAGTCTCCTGGATTTATCTATTTGCCTCTTGGTTAAATAGTTTGATTTCCCTGTTTTGAGAGACAAATATCAATTTCTAACTGGACATGATAAAAAGAATTATATTACAGTAAAAGATCACTAATAGTCAAAGCAATCCTGTGAAAAAAAGAAAGCTGGAGGCATCACATGTTATTTCAAACTGTGTAACATGTGTAACAGTTTCAAACTTATTTCAAACTATTACAAAGATATAGTAATCAAAACAGTATGGTACTGGCATAAAAACAGACACATAAATGGAACAGAATCAAGAGGACAGAACCCATCCATACATGTCAACTAATATTTAACAAGGGAATGAAGATATTCAACGGGGAAAGGATAGTCTCATTAATAAGTGGTGCTTAGAAAACTGAATACTCACTTGCAAAAGATAACTTAGGGAAATAACTCCATGATTGGTTTTGGCAATAGTTTTTTGGATAGTAACCAAAAACACAAGCAAGTAGACCAGGTCAAATTAAAAAGTTTTTGCACAACAAAAGCAACCACCAGCAAAATGAAGAGGCTAGGGCCTCCCCTGTGGCGCAGCGGTTGAGTGCTGGGCTGTGAAGCTGCCCGCAGCTTCTGCAGCGCAGGTTTGATCCCTGGCCGAGGGTCCCACATGGCCACATGGCGCACAGTCCTCTCCTGCTGTGCCCGCTGCTCCTCTCAGCAGTGTACCTCGGTTCTTCTGCCTGTTCTGCTCCCCCACTCTGGCTCTGGTGAATTCTCTCACCCTCCTGCGCTTCTGACTGTACCCGGTGCTTGTATAAATAAATAAATAAATCTTTAAAAAAAAAATGACGAGGGTAACCAACAGAATGGGAGAATGTATCTTTAAAGTACATACCTAATCAGGGATTAATATTGAAAATATACACTGAACCTTTAAAACGCAATAGCAAAGAGCTAAATTAGCAAAATCCAGTTAAAAAGGCAGACATAGGACCCAAATAGATATTTTTCTTAAACACATAAAAAATGGCCACAGGTACACAAAGAGGTGCTCAACAGTAGTAATCATAAGGGAAATGCAAATCCAAGCCAAAATGAGATACTACTCTCACACATCACTGAAGTTATCAAAAAGACGGTAAATAACAACTATGTCGTAAGAGGGGCGTTCCTCTACCCTCTTCGTGGGAATGTAGACTGGTGTTGCCACTATGGAAAACTATAGAAATTAAAAACAATTAATAAAGATACCATATGAACCATCAATTTATTTTGGGTATATGTCTGAAGGAAATCAGTCACTATTTCGAAGAGACAGCTGTACTCTCATGTCCACTGCAGCATTTTAAAAGCCAAGACAAGGGAACAACTCAGGTGTTCACCAGCGGGTGAGTGGATATAATAAAAGTAGGGTGTGTATATATTTGTATGCATACATATGTGCATATACATATATCCACACACACACAACAGTACTCTTCAGACATCAGAGGACGGAAATCCTGCTGTTTGTAATAATATGGATGATCCTGGAGGGCATTATATTGAGTGAAGGAAATTAGACAATTATCACAGGATCTCATTTATATGTGGAATCTGAAAAAGTTAAACTTGGAATAGACGAGAACAGAATTGGGCTGGAGTGGAGGGCCGGAGGGAGGCGGGTGATGAGAAGGAGATGTCAAAGGGTACTAATAAGTTCTGGGGTTGTGATATAAGGAATGGTGACTCTATAGTCAACAGTCCTGTACTGTATACTTGGAAACCGTTAAGAGAGTAGCTCTTTAACGTGTCACCACACACGAGGTATATGTGAGGTGATGGTAGTGTTCAATAACCTTATTGTGTAATCACTTTATAATATTGTGTAATCACTTTATAATATGGATATCAAATCATCACATTGTACACCTTAAATATACACAATATTATATGCCAACTATACCAATAAAGATGAAAAACAGAACTGTCTCTTCAGAGTTGGCCCATTTCCCGAACAAATTTCAAATAGGCATTTTAGCTTGTTTACTGCTATCCTATAAACCATGTTGCTTTCCTAGAACTATGCTAAACACTGTGACTGCCAATCTTTTCATTTTATAGAAAAAATTCTGACGCTTGATAGCCAAATGATGCTATTTGGATATTCTGTAGTAGGTGTTTTTATTTTTGTTTTTGTGTCCCAGGACCTGTGTGTGTCTGGCACAAAGTGAGCACAGACGATCACACTTTGGTAAATATTTCTGAGAATCCTTTAGATCTAGAAACTTGGCTGAATCATGTAAGATAGTAAGTGCTGTCATGATCTCATCTCTGTCAGAAAACTTCCACCTCTCCTCTGCCAGATGAGGAAAAGGAAGAGACAAAGTCAGGGTGGTGGCCTGTTCCAGGTCTACCTCAAGGGTGTGGGTCATCAGATTTGAGAGATGGTTTCTGCGTCTACATAAGGGCCTCACCAAGCCAACTAACAATGCATAATCTCTAAGAAAGCAACACTCAGGTAACGCATTTCAAGTCAGAGAAAGAGGTTTGTTTTGAAGTACTATAATTGTCCATCATTCTTTTTAAGTTATACGAGTTATTTGCTTTGGCAGATTTTCACTTGTTTTCCTCAATACATTCCTCTTTTAGGGAGAATCTGGCAACTATAATAATTTATATGAAAATGTAGATACATTCTCCTGGAATGGCCACTGGAATTTCACAGAAGCATCTGGCCGGGTCTTCTGCCTCATCAGAGCTGAGGCATGTGGCTAAGTTGTCTGGATGATAAGAACTCAGTGTGCTGCATCCCACGACAGCCCAGGGGACAATGCAGGGCAGGAGCATTCATCAGCAGAAAGGACAAGGTTCCACAGTGACCAAAGGATATAGGGAAATTGAATGAGATCAAGTAACTAAGAGAAAGGCCAGGGAGGGTAAAAGTCAAGTGCTGTAAGATAAATGGCTGTGGACCCAAAGGGCCTAGTACTCTTGGGCAATAAATATGCTTGGGGAGAGAGGGCAGGCAGATGGAAGGGATAAGTGAACAAAGTAATCAAGGGTAAGAAAGATACTGAATGAAACAACTGCTCCCAGGAAAGCGCTACATGAAACCGAGGGAAATTTATGAACTGAGAAAAGAAGCAAATGCAGAACAAGGCCTTTTCTTTCTCCTATTAACCTACCAGAAGCTTCAGATAGGAACAAACTGCATGGATTGTAGAAGTCAGGCATCAGTGCAGAGCGCAGAGGAGATGCTGATGGCAAGGCAGGTGACTGATTAATACCAGATGGAATCTTGTTGGGAAATTAAATGTCCTATCTGATTCGAGATTCATGAAGGAAAAAAAGTTCTGATATCCAAACAGGAATAAATTTCCCTGGAGAAAAGCTGACCTAGAAGGAAGCAGGGCTGACCTTGAACAGGTGTCAGAAATTATGACATCTGTGCAGTGGAAAGCACGCAGGTGGCTGGGAATTTAGCTGGGCCTGAGTTCCAGTCTCAACTCCCCTACCCACTTCTTAATTTATTTACTACCTAACCTTGGGCAAAACACTTAACCTCTCTGAGCAATCTCCTCATCTACAAAGTCAGAATTAGAGACCCTACACTCGACAGTGCTGCAACACCTCTTTCTCACTGCTTTACACATAATGGCTGCTCCATGGATGGTAGCTATTATTATTGCTTTAAATCTGAACCAAATTTATAACCAGAGATGACCTGAGATAGGAAAATTCGCAAACATTCCTTGAGTTGGAAGAGTCAATAGCAAGAACATTATAACAACTTGGATACAACATATTCTAAAAATCAAATATCTAAATATCCAGATTAACTATACCGCTTCTCCTTAAGAGGATCTTCCTTCTCTCTACAAAATGTGGTATATTTTCTATCAGGAATTTGAAAATGTGCTGTGAGAACCATCACCATTACATGGGTCCTGGGGTTTAAATGATTTTAATATAATAATTTTTTAAGCAAAGAAAACAGTTTCAAGAAATCTCTACTTTACCTGATGAGGTCCTGAATACGACTGTTAAAAGCATCACCTTGTGAGGACTTGTTTTTCATTTCCTGTGTTGATATTTTTGGTGTAGCTGGCCGGCTGTTTCCATCTGGTTGATTGGCAATCAAGCAGCCAAAAACCACAGCACTGACTTTGAGAAGTCCAGTTGCCAAGCCTTCAAACACTTGCTTATTTGTATTTCTTCCTAAAATAGCATTATTTTCATCTGGAACATAAACCTAGATGAAAAAAACACCACAGTAATTGTCTTTCAATAAAACCACCAAAAAGGGGCAGAGATGATATGACACATTTCTGGAATTATAAATAATTCTGAAATTCTAAAGTGGCTTTCTGAATGTTCAAGTACTGGGTCTGCAATCAGTTCCTGGGTACAACTGTGGATTTTGTCTGTACTAGCTGGGTGACCTTAAGCAGGTTACTACTTCCAAGCTTTAGTTTCTTCATTTATGAAACATAATGGCACTTGTGAAATGAGGAAATAGAAGACTCTAATAAATCAGCATGTGTAAGCTCCTAGAACAATGTCTGACACATTGGCAAGTCCCACAGAAGAGCTATCTGCTACTATAACTGCTACGATGACGCCAACCATTATGCAGTAGTACATCCTCTCGCACAGAGAATGACAAGTACAATGGCTAGATAGGAAATCACCAGTCTGGAAACTGCGCCTTGGCCTGCTGCATGAAACTACACTCTTCTCAGGGAGAGGTGGACTGCCTTCTGAAGCCTCATTATGAAGAAAGTGGCAAGGAATAAGCTAACGGTGGGAAGGACTGACCTGGATTTGGGACTTGGTGGGGGGTCCGGGCTTGGGATAAGATGGCACCGTATTTAGATGCCAGTTGCTTCTCTAGCAGAGCACATGATTTTGAGCAATAATTTCACATTTCCGAAACTTTGTTTCTGTATCTGCCTGTCTTGTAGCACCACAATGATGTCTGGGGACATAGTTGGTAAATAATTATACTTCACAAATGCACTTACTTGGTTTAGCCACCAGCCCCTGCCTCAATCTCACTCTTTGTCTACACCATTTACATCAAAAGATAGGGAGCTTGAATTCTAAAGGAGGAATTTTATACGCAAAAGCAATATTCCTTTTTTTTTTTTGGTTAACTTACTTTCCATGAAAGTCTCTTTTCTGGGAATAGCCTTATGACTGCTCACCATAAGTTATTTCTGACCATTGAACCATTTCTCAGCCAAAGTAATTATAGCAGGTCTTTCTGCAGTGTGTGCTCCAATCAAATGATGAAAGTTTCCTTTGGAACACTGTATTAGCTATCAAATAGTCACAAAAACTATCCAGATTGTGAGCAGCATAACCTGGGCTATCCCAGAAAGTGGTATCAGGAGTGGAGTGTGAACCCAGGATTTCTATGTAAGTCAGGATGACTTAGGTTATACTGCAGTGAAATATTTGTCAAAAACCTCAGTGAATTTCAAGCAATATAGGTTTTTCTTTTTTTAGGCACTTGTGGGCTACACTGGATTGTGCTTAGAAACCACACATCTCTTGTCTCCTTTGCCTGTGTGCTGTCTGAGTTTTCCACAGATTTTTCTTTTTCTTTTCTTGAGGCAGAGGCAACATTAGTTTACAACATTGCATAAGCTTCAGATGTGTATTTTCTCACCTCATAAGCTGTATATATCACCCGATTGTCTAGTCACCATCTACCACCAACGGGTACCCTCTGCCTATTCCTTCACCCAGTCTTCCCTTCTGGGCATCACTGTTTTGATGTCAAACATTGCTTGTTTTTGTTTTTCAAACAAAGTTTTATTTTTCATTCAAATGACAAGTCCATCTCAGGCTCTAGGGCTCTCTTCTGCATTCTTATTGGCCTTACTCTGGAGCCCAGATGACAAAGCAGACCCCGTTCAGACAACACTGCCTAAAATAACTAAGAAGACAAATGACTTAATCCACACTGTCCGACAGCTGCACTAGCCACATGTGGCTATTGAACAGTTGGTTAGCATGACCTAACAATTAAGTTTTTAATTTTAATTAGTATTAATTTAAATATAGGATAGTATAGCTACAGTGGCAGAGAGGAAAAAAGACCTCCATCAGGTTTGTGTAAACATTAAGTATGTTATCTGAAAGTGATACATATCAGTTTTGCTCACAAATTATTATTTAAAATTTTTTTATTTTAACATTAATCAATTTTTTTTTTTTTTACATTTTTAAGACAGTATTTGCTTCCCCCCACCCCCTCAGGTTGAGTCCCCATAGAATTTCCTTCCCCAAGGCACCCATGCACCATCCCCTCAGTCCCCTGTGCTCCTCCCTCCCTCCCTCTCACCCCTCTCCCTCCTCCTCCCCTGCAGGATGTCTCTGGTTTACAATTGTCTGTTTTTGCTTTGTTGTGGTTTGTACTGTAATTATTATTTTTTTTTTTACACTGATGTCCTATTTGGTTCCCCTATATTCCTGTTATAAGTGAAACAATCCGATATTTTTCTTTTTCCTTCTGGCTTATTTCACTGAGCATAATCCCTTCTAGCTCCATCCACTTTGCTGTGAATGGCATGAGTTTATCTTTTTTGATTGCTGAATAGTATTCCATGGTGTATATGTACCACATTTCTTCATCCAGTCATCTATTTTTGGGCATTTGGGTTGTTTCCAGGTTTTACCTATTGTAAATAGTGCTGCAATAAACATAGGGTTACAGGTGTTCTTTCGAATCACTGTTTTTGTGTCCTTTGGGTAGATCCCCAGGAGTGGAATTGCCGGATCGTATGGTAGCTCCATTTTTAGTAGACTGAGGAGCCTCCAGACAGCTTTCCACAGTGGTTGGACCAGTTTGCACTCCCACCAGCAGTGCAGGAGAGTTCCTTTTTCACCGCATCCTGGCCAACATTTGTTGTTGCTAGTTTTTTTGATACGTGCCATTCTCACTGGTGTAAGGTGGTATCTCAGTGTAGTTTTGATTTGCATTTCCCTAATGATAAGGGATGTTGAACCTTTTTTCATATGCCTACTGGCCATTTGCATTTCCTCTTTGGAGAAATGTCTTTTGAGTTCTTCTGCCCATTTCTTGACTGTTCACAAATTATTGGCCAGAACTAATCATAGTCCATTTCAGCCACATACAATCCATCTCAACCACACAGGAACCAAGAAATGTCACCCTCAGTGTACCTGGAAGAGGAGAGAATCAGAACACCTGGTCCACAGCACTACTGACTGCACAACACTGATGCTTCTATTGCGACTATAGAAGTATTACTCAAAGCTAAGTACTTTAGTAAAATGTGATTATATTTACTTTCCTTGTACACATTTCAAATTCAAACATCTCAGGGACTGTTGATTCTTTTCTCTTCTCCCCATCACTCCCCTCCAATGAGGAATTCTTCCTGAAACTCGTCATCCTCTAATCTAAACTGGTTATTCTCTAAGACTTCTACACATCTCTTATTTTGAGATTGCCACTTATCTTCATCTGAAGAATTCCTTTTATAACTTCCTGGGTTAGATTCTCCAATTTTTTGGATTCCATGTCTCCTTTTTCTTTCTTCCTAATGTAATTCATTTTGTTATAGGATATATTTCAACAATTTTATAACAAAGGGATATGGGAAGACAAATTTTGAGACCTTGGTTGTCTGATAATACCTTTGTTCCATTATTACACAAGATTGATAGTTTAGCTACACAGAAAATTCTTGGTCGGGACTCATTTTCATTCAGAATTTGGAAGGATTGCCCCAACGCAGTCTCCACTCAAAGCATTGCTCTTGAAAGTCCAGTCTACTGTAATTCCTAATGTTTTTGTAAACAATGTGTTTTGTTCTGTCTGGAAACTTTTAGGAACTTCTTATCCCTGATTACCTGGTAAATATCTTACATTTTTTGTGTGTGTGCAAGCAAAAACTCTACTAGTCTTTTCAATCTGAAAGTGATATATTTAGTTTCTGGGAAATTTTTTCCCCCCATTCTTTCTATGCTAATGTCATGTTCTCCCATTCATTTTCCCTGTTGAATTTTGGCCTTGAATTAAGGCCCTAATTTTCTTATGTAGTTTGCTTTTGCTTTTCATCTCTTTGTATTTTATCCTAATTTTTAGGTGATTCCTTAACATTACTTTTCAGACCTTTCATTGAGTTTTCCATTTCATCAATTATATTTTTAATTTTCAGGAGCTCTTTTTGACTCTCTGTATGTTTTTCTTTTTGTGGTATCTTATTTTTGTTTCATGGCTGCAGTATTTTCTCATCTCTATGAGGTTACATTTTTTGAAAAAAAAAAAAAAAATTGTTGTTGTTTTCTGCATGGCCTGTTTCCTTTGAATTCTTTTCCTGTATTTCAGGTGTAGATATTTCTCAGATACATGGTAATCTTGGTCTTTCTGTTCATACTTAAGACTAATATACAGATAGATTAACCAGTATATCACAATCTGGACATATACTCTGTGTGGTGGGTTAATTTTTGATGACCCTAAGAGATCTTTTTTGAGACCCAGAGATCTTTTCCATCAGGCAATGTCAACTGTCTAAATTTGTAGGTCTGTGTTCCTGCGACACTCAGTTTCACCGGAATGGAATCCTGCATCTTCCAAGTCTGCAGTGTATAATACGGCCTGTCCATTTTCTCAGAGGTTCATAGGAGAAGGGAACTGAGTGTCTTACTGTTTAAGGAACAGAGTTTCACTTAATCATTTTGTTTTTGTCTGATTTCTGTTTGGCCATACTTGGTATCCCTAAGTCCCAATTAACTTTAGTCAATGTCCTATGTTCTGCCAGGGTAGGGGTGGGCAGTCTTTTCACTGTTTATGTAGACTACATGTACAAAAGGCAGTAACTACCTCTTATTTATACCTTCAACCAATCCCCTTTTTTCTAGTCTCGTCTGTGCCCTTGTTTTCTCAGTTACCTGGAAACTAATTCTTAAAGTCTTCTAGGGTTCTGAAGGCTAGATTAATCTTGTATTAAGATTAACAAGGGGCTTTATCCCCAGTGAGACAAATTTTCTTCTGGCATTCTTCCTCCCATTTATTTACATTTTAACTGTTAGGTATTTATCTTTTAATCATCTGCTATACAGATTAAAAAATTTGTTTTCCATTCTTTCCCATTTTTCTTGACTTTGAGGGATATGACTTTACCTATTTACTATAATATTAGTGGGGCCTCCAAACAGAATGCAACTTATGTATCCAATTAGCCACCTTTTAAAAATAACTCAATAAATCTC